AACCAATAACATCTCTGTCTGCACTGATCTTGCGAGTTTGGATAGTCTAAAATATAATAAATGATCGTGTCACGGTTAAATATTATTGCGAGAGAGCCTAGACTAATTGAATTCTCGATGCTAATATAGGTTTTTGACGTGCGCACGCAAAACGACGGAATTCGTAACCTCGAGGGAAGCAGTACGTGTCGAGTCAATTAACCACCAAACTAACAACGCCGCTACGAGTTTCCCGCAATTAACGGGAAATAAAAGTGAGATTGTTATATGATACCGTGTCCTCCGTGCTGCATCGTAGCATGTAAAGTTAAAACGGATTGTAACGACAACCTAACTGACTAGCGCAGTAGGTTGAGCCGAGAAGAAACGCGCATACGGCTTTTATCCCATAAGAATTTCTATTCCGATTAACCCCCATTCTCTCGATATAATTTTACTTTATCCAGGATATCGGATAGATGTGGAAAATCGTATGACTCGAATGAATGACAATATCGGTATCGATTGTAATTTATAAGAAAATTATATTATATTATCTCTTATCAATTTATTTAATTACTATCGATTGATTGAGCCAATAAATATTTGCGAACTAATCAATATCTTACTTTTACAGTCCGCCAAACAGTCCTTCAGCTTCTGTTTGTTATCCGTTGCTTTGGCTGTAAAAGAAATAATTTAATTATTAATATTAAATTGAAAAATACATTAATATAATGTTACGCGTATGTTGCCGCATGCTTTACGCGTGCACTTGCGCGCATATAAATATGCGTGTGCGTACCAAATAATATACAACATATAACTAATGTAATTACTATTAAAAGCTTCATATTTTAATGATAATATCGAAGAAAAGTATTATCCGAAAAATTTTAATTCTAAATTACGAATAATGATTTTACAAACTCACTTAGCATTCTGAAATACAATTTCCTTTTATAGAAAAAAAAAATACGATAATAATCATAATACATAAAATAAAAATATATTTAAAATTATTTTATATAATAGCTGCATTAACTTTCGTCATTCGTTAAAATTTGGTAAACAACGCTATTAAATTATTCAAGATAATGCTATTATTACAAAATTATAAAGCACAATAGTGTGTCAATGTGAAGTCAAGTTATTTATCTTTTAAAAGTCTCTCTTTTTGCGCAGTAAGTAAGGAGAATTAATTTAACATCGAATGTTCAAATATTTGTATTTAAATATCATTATTAATTTTTCTCAATATTGTATTGTAATGCAAATTTATTCTGTCTTTTATATCTAAAATCAAAAATTGGTTCGAGAAACTTAATTGAAACATAAAATGTGTACTTCATATTTCGAAGTTATAACTTGATTCTTTAAACCTTCAAGACAATTACAGTAACTGTACATACGTTGAGACCGTCGATAACCGTTTTATTGACTTATATTTCTGTATGCATTTTTATATTATCTTTTTTACACGACATACATTTATAGATTGGAATAAACTTCTTATATAAGTACGACCGCTTTCTTTATTACTAATTCTTGAAGTTGTATACTTTTTCGAAAATCATATATTTTCGCGAGACATAATCGTATGCTTTGGTCTAGTAAAACAAATAAAACATGTCTTTAAAAGCTTTTGTTCAAAAATCATTCCTCTTAGTTACATAAATAGTCTTGATAAAATATTAAATTTCTCCTGCCATAAAGATATAATTTAGAAATAAAATGTTTATATTGTTATGAACCATTCGAATTTATTTTATGCTCGAATGCAAATTTAGATCATTTAATTGAAAGGTAATAAAATAAAGCGATTTATTATTATATATTGTAAATAATGACAGTAAGTACGTTATTTATTTCGCGTTTAGAACTCAAGAAAAAATAAATAAACGAATGAACTTGGAAACAAGTACGAGCCAAATTATAATCTCCGAAAGAAAAATTTTCACTACTCCTCCTTTATTTTATAATCTACCAGTGTATCTTTTGCCATGAGCAATCCTTTATTTTCGGGTAATTTTATAATTCTCAATAAGGTAAATCTACGACTCATATTATAATTAAGATTTATTCGATATTGTTAATAAAATTATAATTTTATTGCTCAGGCTATTTTCAATTATCAAATAATGTTCAAAATTTTTTTTCGATAATGTTTATTATACTATACGCTTATTATACCATATACTGTTTAAAATTTCATAATTCAAATATAAAAAATTTTGAGTCGCATAATTTTTGTTACCCAACGTTAATTGCGATATAATTATCGTAGCCTTCTCGACATATTCATGAATCGAAAATAATTCTACAATAAATTCTTTTATTCCATTTATCGTAATAAGAAGCTATCATTATTGCAACACATTATTTAAAATAAATAAATTTAAATTTCATAAATACAGTTATGATTGATTGTTTGATAAACATTGTCGCTATTATCCACGCATATTGTTGGTAATTTATAAATTTGGCATTTTGTATCTTTCGATAACAGCCCTATGATTAATAAAAAAAAAAAAAAAACTTTGGACAATTTGAAAATTCTCTTTTAATATTTTTAGCAAATAGGATGAATTCTTCAAATTTGAAATTGAATTGTAAAGTAAGGTGAAACGAAGCATCCTCGTCGATTATAAATGAGAAAATTAGATATTATATTTTAACTACAGCAGCTTCTATTTATTCTATTCGTATACACGGTTGTATATTCGTATGCTCAGTTGTTCTGGATATTACGAACACTCTGACGTGTATGTTTTAAATTTCGTTTGTTCGAGTTCCACATTTGTCGAGGCAGTAGAATTACCCAACTCGTGCACATCAAATGCGTTCGTTTTTACTTTAAAAGAGTGAGTAAAAAAAGTATATTGTTTGTTGCATTTGTCTTATAATATGATACACGAAGGATGTAATTGATGAGCGAAGCGATGGCTTTAAAGAAATATATTTAAAAAATTTGAGAACATTTTACATTTTATTTTACATTTTTTGAGAATGGTTTTTCTACAGATTAAATAATTCAATGGTGCGATATATGTTATTAGATATAATGAAGATTATTAATAACTTTATATTTAATAAATGATAAAATATGCCGACAAATATTTCTCATCTAATGATTATGCCAATGTCAAATGGTAAAACTTATATATTAATTATTCGATATTATTGATTTTATAATTCTAATATAAGAATTTAATGATGTAATAATGATTGAATAAATCATAAATTCAAAATTATATGGAAGTTAAATATACATATATTTTTTCAAATTATTTTGAACAATTTATATAAATGAAGTTACATTTTTATGCTTTAAAGCTGATTCGTATCTACGAATTTGCATATTCTTTTTCACTCCTCGTTATTTCTGAAAAAAAATTAATATAGTTTTGTTTGTGTTTATAATACGATTTAAATTTACATCTAAATAATGTAATTTTTATCAAAATAGTAATTTTACTCCACAAATCTATTTACCTATGGGCCGTACAAAAAGTAACAGTCGCTTCTACATTTATCCCAAAATGATGGGTCATATTCTGAAAATTACGAAAATATACACTTAATAGACACACTTAAAGTAAATAAAAATTAAATTGCCCGTAATTAATTTTTGATAAAACACAAACTAAACAATATTAATGATGGTAATAAAATAATGGTAATAAATGAAATTGAAGTAATTGAAAAAAATAACGGAAAAATAACAGAATGCAGAAGGAAACCAGGATTAACACATAATATCCGCTAATGTTACAGTAAGAAGAAAATGAATCTGTTAATGGATTCTATGGGGGCGCATTGCAATTAGCTAAAAATGACAGTTATTTTTGTCTGTCAGCTTTAAAATGAACCGTAAGAGAATTGAAAAACAATTTTCTATGTCCCAATCACATTAAATCTGCACACTAATCTTTTAACAGCAACATAACGTTTATTAAATTATCTTAAAATGTAAAAATCTTATGCCCTTCATACGGACACACATTTTTCCTTATTCTTTGTCACAGAATTTAAGCAAAAACATTAACAGCCAGTTTCAAACGATTTGCGACGTCACGAATAATTATGTTATAATTTGTTAAATATTCATAAAAATAAAGTCAACAATAAAGTCAATTGAAAGTTAAGGTAATTTAAATATTATGAAAAATGAGATAATTTTGTTAAAAAAAAAAAAAAAAAAAAAAAAAATGAATAACCAGTAACAATATAGCCCTGAAAAATTCGATTTCCATAAAATGTTCGACGAAAAATCTAAGCCAATAGAGGTCTACTATTAAATAATTTTTAAGCAGATGTATTATTTTTAATTAGCTTCAACTGATATTCTTCAATATGGCATAGATCATTGATAAATATTAAAAGTATTATGAAAGTATTATTCACAAAAAATATATGAAACCGATAGGAATATTTAATGGTATTTCATTTAATGGTAATTCATGTAATGTAATAATAGCGTTTAAAACTAATATAGTATAATAATAATAATAATAATAATAATAATGATAATAATAATGATAATAATAATAATAATAATAATATAACTATGTATATAATGTCTGAAAAATTACTTTAAATGAAGAGCAATAAGAGTTTTCTGCTTTAATTTAATTAAATTTAATTACAAAAAATCAGGAACCACGAATCATTATTTTGCATTATAAATATTTTATGAGTAGATCGGCGATAAAATTATGAATTTATGATATAAAAATTTTTAATTTTTTAGGTTCTAAACTTGTTGACGTATAAAAATATTTTTATAATATTTAATGTAATTTTAATACCACATTATAATGTTATTGATAATTACAAAATTTTCATAGGCATTTTTATCAAAGCTGTTTTATTTTTTAATCGGTTAGAATAATAACTTCATTAATTTTCAATTAATTAACTTCAAAATTTCAGATAATGTTTAAAACAATATTTTCTGAAATTTCAATTTTATAGTTCATTATGAATTCTTTTAATTAGAATACTCTATATAAAAACTTTTTCATAAAATCGAACGGAATAAAAAAGTTTTATTTTACATTTACGTACACTCAACTAATAAATATTATATATATTATAGAGATTTTGTGTCAATAGAAATAAACGTTCGTTATTAGCTGCGGAACTTTCTAATTTCTAAATATCTATAAGTGCATCCCAATCAGCAAAATTATAGCCACTATTTTGCAAAAAATGCACTTAAAACCATCATTATATTTTTAAAGAATTTTTAAAATTAAAACAATTTTACACAAGTAATTTTATGTAATAAATATTAAATAGAATTTAATGCATGTAATTATAAATTATATGCTTTCAAACCATCTATTCCCTTAACAACCTTATACGTCCATAATAACCAAAATATTATTTAAATATTAAAGCTAAATAATAATTAACAAAAAAAAAAAAAAAAACAAAGAAAATAAATAGCAAACAAAATCAGAGTTATAAATATATGAAAAAAAATTAAAATACTATATATGTCTTACGTTGGCAATCGTTTAAGCACCCTTGTAATTTTGCAGGATCGCCACATTCTGTCGAAAAATTAGAATAAAAAATTTAATAAAGAATTAATAGTTTATTTTTAAAAAAATTTAATTAAATACATACCTATGAATGCAAAATAAAATACGACCAAAACGAAGAAAAGTAAGTAATTCATTTTTAATATTATTATCTTGTGTAACAAGAATTGATACTGAATGAAAATTTTTGAGCTTTATATTTAAATGAAAAAACTAATTATATTAAAAAATATTGATATAAGTGATTCCATTATTGCACGAAGCTACAAATATTTGAATAACAAAAATATTAGAAAACAAGTCATTATGAAATTATAACATAGTTTATACCAATGTATGACAACTTTCATTATGAAGTTGGTATAAATTATCTAATGGTACATTTATTATTTAAATATTAGCTTACAAAATGATTCAAGATAATAATTAATTTTATTATTTAATTTAAATTTCATCTATTACTTTATTATTTTCAACTTCTAATTGAATTTTAATTATTGTATTTACTCAATAGAGCTAAATTCAAATTAAATTTCATAAATTATTTTATGGAATTATCAACTTAATATAGAATTGTTATTATAAAAAAAATATTTTCTTAAAATTAATAAAAAAATTCCATTATTTTTCAATGTATATAATTTTATTGATAAAAACGAAAGATATATGAATGTCGTTATAATATTTTCATTTGTATACTTATTAATTAACAATTTAATAACTTTAATTAAATAAATATTTTTCTTAATATTACAATATAATTAATAATTATCAATCGTTTGGGAAATAATTACAAAATAATTAATGTTATATACAAAAATTAAAATTGACCAATTAATATTAATGATAAAAGTAATAATACCGTAAACAAATTATGCCTTATTCATTTTCCAAACATAAAATGTTGATAAATTTTTTCTTAAAATTTAATTTATTATTCTCTTTTGTTTAGAGCTATGCATAATACATTAAATTGCAATATTTACTCGGTTAACCGAGATTTCTTATTCGAACGGCTTCGATCCCTAATCAATTAATTAAATTAATTATTAATTTAAAGAATCGCTCGATAAGTATACTTTAAATGCTTTATTAAATATAATTCTGTTTGAAGTAAATTTGGAAAAATCATAGGGGCTCGTGTATACTGGAAATTACAAAAACAAAATTATTAAATCTAAAACGCAATATATATTTTAGATTAAATTAATACAAAATCGCCAAATTATAAAAGTTGTCAATTATAATTATTATTAATACTACCATAATTATATAATTGTTCAAAACATTATATTTATTTAATATTAGTATATATAGACTTTTCTAAAAACTCGTTTCATGAAGTAATAATTAACTCGTAATAGATAAGACTGAAGACAAATAAATCAAAATAATCAATCACGTGAGCACACGTTTTTTGAATCTTTAAAAATAAAACTGAAATATTTGCCTTTAGCTTAAAAAAAAAAATAGCGTTCTTTAATTCAATTTTTAAACGTTTACATGCTATGGAGTACTTCAATAACTTTAAGAAAACATAAAAGATATGGTTGAAGTGGGACAAATAAATTTTAAAACATACATTTTATTTTATAAGAAAAAATAATTTTTAATTCATGCAATTTAATGATTTTAAAAAGTATCATTTTTACTTTTTTCAATCGATATATTATTTAAATTATAATTAATAAATGGATTAATATTTCACTGTGAAAGCTTTTGAAAATAATTTCAATTCATATGAATAGAATTGCGTTGAATTATTTTAGGAATTATATTTGTTATATATTTTGAATTTTTACGAAAACTCTATAGTACTTAAGTGACTTAATGTAAATATATTATTTAAAAAGATATTTCGTTACTTATATTTTAAAAATAGAATGATTGTTATTTTTTAATATTTTACAATATTTGCTTATATATTTGTTTATATTTGACTATAATTCTAGACTAATAATGATACAGAATTATAGTAAAGTATACATAAATAGTTGAATAATTAAGGAATTATTTAATATGATTTGTTTGGGTTTCTTACAATATTTAATGAATAAGTTAAAAAATAAAATTGGCCTTAATGGTAAAACTTAACAAGGAAAGAAGGATTATCATACAACAATATACTTTACAATACAGTTTAATGTCAATAGTCAAGTAAAATATTTTTTTTTTCTCTTATTAATTAAATAATATTACAATAAAATTTAAAAATATGTATATTATAATTATTAATATCTATATTATAATTATTTGAGCACATTTAAATAAGATAATAAAGTTTATATAATACTGACTAGGAAACTGATTATTAGTTTAATAAAAATATTTGTTTGATCTATTAAATTTGGCTAAATGTATTCGACATGTTTAGTCTAATGTAAGAAAGCTTTTTAATTCTTTGAATCTGAAATGAATTTCAAGCACAATTCACATATGTCTACAGACTTTAAACATTATTAAAACTCTTAAAGTAAATAATCTATTAGAGCAGATTTTTTTTTTAATTATTTGAAAATTGAACAGCAGGCATGTTCGTCAAATAACACATTGAAAATGTATTTATGATTAAACAGGACAATGCACTTCTCCATCAAAAGATAATTTAAAATAAGTTCACAACATGTGTGAGCACGAATACTCAAGATAAGTTGCATATGTAAGTCAACAAAGCATCGAGTCAGCCATGATGAAATAAAAGATTATTAACGAAATGTTAACGGACAATCATTTATTTTATCACGGTAAATACAAAATAGTCAGCTGTTTAAATATATTAACGCAGGCAAATTTGTAAGAAATTTTATATCATACTTTTGAAAATGCTTACAAGAGGAAACATGACGTGTACGTGAACATAGTTAGTAATAACTAAAACAGCTGTGCCTCTAATCCTGCTTATATCGCAATCAACGCGATCAATGATAACAAAGGCCGAAATGAAGATGCTAGGATTTCGGCTCGATTTACCATTTAAAGTTTGGCCATTCTCAAATGAGCGGATCGTGCTATTATGGTACTTAAGTAATCAATTAAAATTACAACTCCTTTCAGTTTCAATTGCCAGTTCCCTTGTCGACTGTTCCCATGATCAATTTCACGATGTGTAACTGCTGCATCGACTGGAGCATACGTCAAAGCGATCATATTTCCCATCTTCTGCGCTTCGCCATAGTGACGCGAGAAGATTTTTTTTTTTTTTTTTTTTTTTGCCAAACCTAGCGGACATGGCTTTTTATGCTCAAGTTGCTACGTATAAGTGAAAAGTGCAGTTAACGTGCTTTTGCCTAGGAATTAATTCCTAGTTCCCTATCTTCTCCAATACAGTACGTATGCACCTGTGCACTTGAAAATACGTAGCCCGAATCTACGTTAAATTAGCAACAATTTAAAGAATCGTCCTATGTCACATGTTTAATTTCATCGCAGAGTATGGAATAACAAATATATAACTCAAATTGACGAATTAAATTAAATTTATCGGTGTAGAATCTTTACCTGTATATTACATCCATAAACCAGTTTAGAGACAAAAAAGGACACGAATCGTGTTCGGAAAAAATGTTTTTTTATAAATAACGCAATTATTATACACTAAGATTATGTTGGTATTGATGCGGATAGAACCTCGCGATATATACTGCATATCATTTATATTGAAATAGAACCCATAACTCAAGTGTTATATTTTATAATGAGCAGTGCTTAATTGCCCGAAATGTCTTATGGTGAATAATTTTCTATTATAAATATCGTAATAGAATATTCAATACCAAATACCACGAACAAAATTTTTATGTATGCTACGACTATAATAAAGGTACAATGACAAATAAATAAAAGCTGTAAATTAGAATATATTAATAATAGCTCGTATTTATTAATTCTAGTCTAATAAATAATTATTTTTTATGGTTTTAATTGGTACAATATTTAAATTATATCGATTTAACGTATTCGCTCACTGACGTTCATTTATATTCCAGTGAATTGATTCTATTTTTATTTGAAACTATTGAAGTTAAAGCGTACTTTTATGAATAATAAGATTATTAAGGGCAAATTACAATACAGAATTAAATAATAGATATTTCAGTACAATTTAATTATTTATAAATTTATATTTACATTCGATAAAATGTATTTCTATAGATTTATACTATAGAATACTAATAGGCCCTGTATAAAAAAAGAAGAAAAAAAAATATATATATATACCTTATTAGCGTTTTAGGACGTTACGTTTCCGCTGAAAATAATATTTATATTAGATTTACAATTAAGTTATAAGAATTACGCTAAAAAAATATGAAAAATTGAACAAACTATAGTATGCAAATATACTCACTCCTACTGTCATTTTCTTTATCAAGGTGTATGTCACTCTCATGGTCACTCATTTTCCCGCCCTTTTTGCCGCTCTTTTTATCACCGTTTTTAAGACTTCCTTTGCCATTACCTGCAGTTATAACATCATAGGTATCACAATATTTTGTACATTTTTTCTTCTTCTTCTCCGGAACAACTGCAATTTTCAAACAATTGTTATTATTAATGGAACAAAAAAAAAAAATGCAATGATGTGATTAAAATAAGAACGCGATATATATAATAATTTTTATAATTCAAGGTCTCTTTAAGATCTCTACCTCATCTTTTCTCATTGAAAGCAAGTTGTTCCAATTATTCAACAATCCGCGAACAATAATTCAAAAAATCCGCTAAAAGTTATATTGAAATTGATTGTAAAATTATTTTATTACAGTTATTAACATTTTGAATAGCTATTAATAAGTATAAAATAAATTAATAATCTTTCTAATTGTATGTATAATTAATGTTAGTTATAAATTATAGATTTCATTGTTATTATGTGACATAATGAATAAGTTGCTGCTGTAAAAACGTGTAAAAAGATTATTAATTTTTTGTTTTATTTATTTGCAAGAATATTTATTTTGTAAATATTGGATAAAGTAAAAATCATTCATTAATCTCTTATCAATTATGTATATTAATTATAACAAATATTGCTTATCTTACATTCACAAGTTTTCAGGCATTGTTCTTTCGAAGGCTTATACTCTACCATACTTATACCAGATTTTTTCAAAATTTTAGCATTAGCTTTATTCACTAATTTACTACCAGCTTTATTAACAAGATAATCCGAAGATAAAACTGGCGGATTAGCTTTAGATTCTTTGTCGCTACCTAAAAAAAAAAAATTAATGTTTATGATTCTTGATATCTATGTGAATGTTACCCCAATCAATTACTTACCTTCGATTAAAATTACGTTTAATGCAACAATTAATACGACTAATATGCAGAGCCTCATTTTTTACAATATTATACGCAAAACACAATATAAAGTATAAATTTTTATAATACACCCTTTGTATATATCCAGATTACTTTTTGCTTTTATAGTAATAGCATAGAAGAGAGTAAAAAATGTTCCATTGCATTCGCACGAAGTAGTCTTAAAATTGATCGTTAAATGATTTTTAATACTTTTGTTATTTCAATACTATTCTAAAAATTATATCATTAAAACGATCATTTATTTGTAACAATGTATACAATTGACTATGAATTATTATTAATTATCTCAGATTATATGACGATATTTATTGTCGCGTCAACCGTTTAAAGGACAGTTTAACAAACAATTTCGAAAAACAGTGTAATAATTATTTTCTTCTTAATAGTTTAACCAACTATCTAAAAAAAAAAGAAAGAAAAAAAAATCATTTTAAAGAATAGTTTAACGAACATGCTGTACTTTATAAAGTTTATTATCTAATTATTATTCAGTCACTCTTTGTGATGTTCTTTTATCTATATATAAAACGATTTTAAAAATTCACGTACTTATTATAATTGATTTAAAAAAATATTCCAAAGAATTTTTTTATTTATAATATTTACTTTACTGTCCTATGTATGTAAATTCATATAAATTCCATGTATACAAATTATCCAATTAACGATGGATCTTGAATTAAATATTCTTATTCTCAGTAGTTTATAAAATTTTATAATAAATATAAAAAAGTTTGTATCAAAATTAATGTAACAATTACATTAACTTTTATAATATTATAACATGATTATAAAAAGGATTTTATGAACTAAACTGCCAATGAATTGTTCATAAAAATATAAATAATTCTATAAGATTGTATATTATTGAAAAATAATGACAAGAATAAGAAAACATTGATTAAAAAATAATTGAAATACAAGATAATTAATTAATAATGATAACAGATAATTGATATTAAAAAATTATCCCTAAGATTTATATTTTATACAACATTTTTTCTATTGGTACTTCGATTAATTTTCACGAAAATGATTCGTCGTTCATAAACTATTAAACAATAAAGTAAAAAAAAGAATAATAAAAAATTAATGCACTTAAGTCTGTCTAATTTTTATATCTACTTTATGTAGAGGTAAGTTATATAAAATATAAATAATTCATGTAATTAAATTATTTCATTTTTCACAAAAGAAAACTTTTCAAAATTTGTGTTTTATAATTTGCAATTTATCAATATGTATATCACTTTCGAATCAACTTATTTATTATATAAAAGTACAATAACTACAAATAGTAGCAATTATTGTTTAAATCATTAAAGAAAAAAAACTTAATAATTTATAATTCTGAATTCTATATACACTTTTCAATGAAAAAAATTCTAAATTAACAACAATTTCAATCAAATATCATATTGTTTTCTGTAACAATAAATATTAGTAAAACAAAAATTCATAAAATTTTTAATCTAGCGAAAAATGATTATAATAAATGAATGGTTTAGATGAAATTTCAAAAGATTTTTGTTAATGCTAATTCATAATATTTTATTTATTTATTTATTTAAAATTATTATTGAAAAGCTTTAATTGCAAAATATTTCTAAGTTCTACTTACAAATAGGTATACGAATTACAAATACGTCTTACAAGATTTTATAGTAAAAATTGGGCTTTTCAGGTGGACAAACTATTGATTAATTTATCTATATTTATTTTTTTTTTTTTTCTTACAAATACTAAGTAAAATTTTAGATAATCCATTTAATAATATTAATTATAAAAGAAGAATAAAGTAAGTTATTTATAATTTTCTTAAGACATGCTTTCCAATCCTTTTTACACACTCATTGATTTTTACATAAAATTTTTCGTGTATATACTATATTATCTATTAAATGTCAGTTTTGATTTATTTAGTGTTGAAAATTAGCAATCAGCATGATGTAAACAATTGCGGACTGGTTTGTAAACCTAATTACTTGTTCGATGTACAATGTTGTTTATGTCTCAAGCTCTCTTACCATTATTAACATGATATGCTAATTAATAATTAATTTTTCATAATTATCTTTATTGGGGAAAGTACATGTATTGTTGAAATTGAATAAGCTTTGTTTACTAAAAGACTCAATAGTGATGGAGTAAGATTGAAGATAATTGAAAATATTGAATAAAAATGACCATATTGGATATATTCATCAATATTTTAATGTAAATATTACATGAATTTGAATAAGTTAGAAAATTTTTATAGGCATATTTTTATTAAAGTAAAAAATGAAAGTTACTATATGGACACGAATGTTATAAATATTATTTTAAAATATCTATTACCCCATTAAAATTTGTCGTAAATATGTTTAATTCCATCGAATATTTTATTTTTAAAATGTAATCATTATTTATCGTTTACTGTTATAAGTATAAATATATTCAAATTGTATGCAAAAGCAAAATAAAAGGAATATAACGTTTTGATTAAACAGTGAAACTATCAATAGTATAAGTTAAAAAATTTTAATTTTAATTATGATAACATAAATATAAAAAAATATTATACAACGAATACAATTATCGATTAAGTATTAAAAAAGTTTACCAGTAAAAATATATTCTATTTCGATATAAAAATAAAAACAATTAATGTCTTCGTATAGTTTACACATGTCAAGTTGTTCTTTATTCATTATAATTGTAAATAAATAATTCGTTAAAAGATAATAAATATTCTTACTATTCTTGCGATAAAATACATTGATACCAAAATAAAAATTTTATTTGTTATGAAAAATGTAGTTGGTATTTTTATACCTAAAATCATTGTTTAGTACACCCTATTGTTAATTAATATTAAAATAAAATCTAACTGCATTGAATTATTCATTAAAATTTTTTTTCTTTAAATTCTTTAAACTATAATCTGTCAATTATACTTCAATCGAATTAAAAGTATACGAATGCAAGTGCAGAATTATGTTAATTTTTTTTTTTTTTTTTTTTTTTTTTTTTTTTTTGTCAAAAAACTAATTTTTATAAACTTATTGAAACTTTGAATCAATTCCATTCTTGAAAACTATAACGATGAACATAATATCCAATGTTCCAACTTTTCATCACTACAAATAATAAACGAAAAAGTTACTTTGAGATCTTATATTAATAAGATCTTTGAAATTGTAAACTAATTACTTAATCGTGTGATCTCTTTGTAAATTAATAAAAATGCTATCATTAATATATTTTTATAGTTATAAAAGATTTGTGAAAGTAGAATATTAAAAAGTAATTTATAATATTTTTATGAGTATATGGTTATTTATAAATATAAAATATATATTTAATTTAATGGTTTTATTCATATTAGAAATAAAATTCGTTATTTTCGTTATTCCGTTAAAAAAAAAAAAAAGAATGTTATGAATTCTACAAATTTCAATATTAATTTCATTGAATTATAAAAATTATTTCATAATATTATTATACTTACATGTCTAAATGTTTTTTTACAATCATTTTTACACTTCTGTTGATTACGTTCCTTAAAGGCTACAATCAAATTAATGATAATAAAAATATTATATAAATTTAAAAAATTTTAAATTATTTTTAAAATATATGATTAAAGCCACTTGTAAAATTAGTTAATCTTTCAACTCTCTTTAAACTCTGTTATGTTTAATGAAATTATAATTGTTACTTGCAAGGAAATCTTCTGCCATGTCGAAATCCATCCACTATTAATTCAAATTATAACAAGCAATTAATATCTACTTTTTTTATACTATTAACTATATTACAATTTGTAATGATATTTTACTTAATTATACTATAAAGTGTTTCATTATACATCAAAGAAAAATATCAATGCTTTGTATAATATTTTCTATAATACATTTAATATAGGAAATGCAGTCTCGAGGAACATTTTATAAGATGAATTTAATATTGAGAATGAATGTGTATAATGATGATATTTACATAAATTACATTATTCGTCTGAAAAAAAAAAAAAAAATTCTCCATTAAAGTATATAATATATTTTTCACTGTTAAGAAATATGAGTACAAAATTCAGATTAATGTAGACCTTTAAATTTTTATCCATAATTCTTTACTAATATTTAAGCTATTTGATGAATTAATTTTTATTCGAATATAGCTAAATATCAATATCGCATACAAATATCAATTTTCTTAAATTTGAAACATAATGATTATTATATTATTATAATAATTATAGCTGTTTTACTAGTTTTGTAAAAATTAATTTTATAGTATTATATAAAAGATCGTAAGAGAAAAAATCATAAAAACCCTAAAGTGAGCATAAAAATAGATAATAATAGATAATAGTTGAATATATAAATCATTACTTCCATTAAATTTAAACTATATAACAACAAATGCCAGGAATAATGTAATTTGATAGCGAGTAAACATTATTTTCAATCTTTTAAAGAAACTTAGCTATTAGGATAAGAAATATAGCTCATCGATTTAAAAACTTCCATTAAAAATTAATTATTTTTCCAACAAATAGTTCATACTTATTAATTCCGAATATTAATTACAATTATTATATTTTATATGATAATAATATTTATCTTACATTCACAATATTTATAACATTCCTTGAGTCCATCATATCCTATAGAAAAAATGATGATAAATTTATCTGATTTAATAAAGACATGAAAAATTAATTCAATCGACACAGTTTAAACCTGCGACAAATAGTACAAATGCAATCGCAATGGTTACTAAGATGAAAAGTTTCATTTTCAATTTGAATAAATGGATAACTAATTATTGAACACTTTACTTTGATTTTATACTTATGAAGAAAATTTTCTTTTATAATAAAAATACGACCTGAAATTATTGATATAACTACTATTGACCTGCATGAAATAATAATTAAGTTTACTTTATTTTCCTTTTATTTCAATATTTTTGTTATTTAATTTTCGCATATTAATATATGCGAACCAGCTTTTTTATATGAATATTGTATTTACATTGTCAAACTTTAATGAATAATTTTTTTTTTAACGTAAGTACTATATGCTTTAATAATTAATTAA